TCACCCTCCCAGCCTGATTGTTGTCAACTCTTCTTTTTTTTTTTGTCTGTTCAACTGGTCTTCTCTCTTTTAGACTCTATCCTATCGTGTACTCCCTACCCCATCCCCCTCCCCTTTTTTCTGCATCTAAACTGACGTTTTCCCAGCCACCCTCAGTTCTGAGGAAGGGTCACCGGACCCGAAACATTAACTTTGTTTTAGTCTTCACAACTGACTGTGTGGAATTTGCACATTCCCCCCGTGTCTGTGTGGGTGTCCTCCCACAGTGCAAAGATGTGCAGGGTAGGTGGATTGGCTATGCTAAATTGCCCATAGTGCCCAGGGATGTTTAGGTTAGGTGGGTTAGACAAGGGAAATGTAGGGGTAGGGGAATGGGTTTGGGTGGGATGCTCCGGAGGGGTGGTGTGGACTTGTTGGGCCAAATGGCCTGTTTCCACACTGTAGGGATTCTATGATAAGATGCTGCTGGACCTGCTGACCTTTTCCAGCAACTTTGTTTTCGTTCCTGATTTGCAGCATCCACAGTTCTTTCGGTTTCCAAAGATGTGCATGTTAGGTGCGTTGGCCATGCTAAATTGCCTGTAGTGGCCAGCAATGTGCAGGCTAGTTGGATTAGCCTGGGTTAGGTTAGGGGTGTAGGTATGGGTGGAATGCTGTTCGGAGGGTTGGTGTGGACTTCGTGGGCCAGATGGCCTGCATCTACACTGTAGGGATGCTGTAATTCTAAGAAGGCTGGTTGATGTTAATTGCTGTCAAATGGCGCTTAGAAAGTAGTAGATGACTTCTGCCAGGCCTCTCCAGGCCTTATTATATGCATAGTCCGTACATGAGCAAAAGAGCTGAACCTCGGGTGAGATTAAAGTGGAAGTTAAGCAGCATTGATCAGAGTGTGGCATCAAGAAATCTGAGCAAAGCCAGAGTAAAAAGGGATTGGAGGAAACAAACTCAGCTGGTTGGAGCCATACCTAACACCAGAAGAAAATGATAATGCTTGTTGGGGTCCATTCATGTCACCCTCAAAACGTTGCTGCATGAGTTCTTTCAGGGTAATGTGCTAGGCCCAGTCATCATCTACTTCATCAATGACCTCCACTCAGTAAGCTCAGAAGTCATGATTTTCATTGATGATTGAACAGTTTTCAGTTGTGACTCCTCTGTGTCCATATATCGCAAAACCTGGATATCATTCAGCTTTGTAACAAGAAGTGGTGTCAATTCTCAACAGATCTTCACAACATCAGAAATTGTTTCTGTACACTGCAGTTAAAAAAAGCACTTTGATCCTGAGCTAGTTTATTTTTCCTTCAACAGTTGCATCAAGCTGTGACTTTTAATTATTAAATAAGAAAATTTTATAAGGTGAGCCAGTTATCCTGAGCCTCATGCAAGCAAGTGAAAGAAGATCAAGAAGCAATGTTCTGATCACAAGAATCATCTCAGCAAATCCTGTGATTGGGGACCATTGAACTGCTTTTCTAATCTTTGCCTTTGCTCAGAGCAACCATATCTTTTTCCTGCCTGTATCTGTCTATATTGTAGGTAAGGGTGACTCTTTTAGGGGAGCAGATTTTATGCCAAGGATTCATAGTTGATTCCCTGTAGTGTGAATTTCATATCATAGAATCTCTAGAGTGTGGAAACAGGCCATTCAGCTCAACAAGTCCACACTGCCTATCCAAAGACCATCCCATCCAGACCCATCCCCGTACCCTTTCCCTGTAACCCTAAATTTCCCAAGGCTAATCCACCTAATTTACACACCTCCAGACACTACGGGCAATTTAGCATCGCCCGTCCACCTAGACTGTGGGAGGAAACCAGTGCACCCGGTGGAAACCCACGCAGACATGGGGAGAATATGCAAACTCCACACAGACAGTTGCCCGAGGGTGGAATTGAACCTGGGTCCCTGGTGCTGTGAGGCAACAGAGCTAACCACTGAGCCACCGTGCTGCTCCTTATTTGTAATATATAGAAATTTTTGTTAGGTGCGCAAACCAAGTCTGTGCTTTTTGTCAACCTGGGCCTAAAAGACAAGTAAATTGGAGGATTCTGCACAGTTTTAAAAATCTTTTAACTTTTATGATGGCTCTAGGAACAGCAGGACTTGATCTTCAGCATGCTACCGCAATGAGGCATAGTACTATTCACTCTGAATGAAATAAATAGACTTCTAATAACAAAATAGACATTTTAAGTAAATGTTATTTCTTCTAGCAACAAAAGTGTAAATACACATATAGAATCAGACTATTTAAAATCACAAATGGTCAGTACTCTCTCACGCTCGTCACACTAAGGTATTTGAAAGAGCATATTTGTCAAAATCATCATTGATTTATTGAATGAATTGATGGATGCACTTTGAAGAAATCATAAATTTCAACTGTTTACAATTACTTCTCACCTTTGTCTTTGTTGGATGTACAACGTTTGAAATTTCATTTTGCAGCGTTTTTTTTTTGTTGGATGATAGAAATGGCTTTGTCTTGGCATCGACAAAATTTTCTTCAATTTGCTGGTTGTTTTGAGGGTTTTAATCTATTAGACTGACTAATGTTTCATGGAGTATCATCTTATCTTTGGTTAGTAATATTCTAATTCATTTCAAGTACAGAGCTGGTGTTGTTTAGATAGTGGACATTGGATCTACCATAGTTCATTTCTTGTTTCCATGGAAATTTTCAAAATCCTTCTTGTCATTGCTGTTAGTATCTGTCTTAAATGCAGGACCTAGGGCATGTCTCCAAGGGCATTTTGATACAATTGATTATTAATTCTTCCAGGCAAAGCTGTAAGTGGAGTGTCCTTCTTTCGTGTTTAGTTTCTGCCCGTACTTGTTTTACATCTCTGGGGTCTAACTGCATTTAGTCTCCCAAGTACTGCTTTGTGAATCCAAGATAGTTTTTGTAAAAACTCTTTTTCTTTCCAGCTTTGTAGATATACTCATTCTCTCAAGGTTCTGATAGAACTTCTTGCTTCTTTCCAGTTCTTCCTACACAATCAGGGGACACTGACATCATTACATCATGACACATTCTGCTGATATCTCCTTACTCTGCAATCCTTACTGCCCACCATTTTCTTGGTAATTTCTCTTCTGTAACTATATTTGAAGGTCAACCATGATTGACGCATTGCCAAAAAGGCTGGAAATCTGATCTGAAAGGATAAGAATTTGGGCAGCCAAGCCAGATCCTCATTATTATGAGTTGCACACTGTAACAGACAGTATTATAGCAGAGTCCAGTGCACTTTCTTGAATTTCAACCTATGTACTGAAACTTCACGTTATGTAATAAAAATATTAGGAATTTCAGAGATTTATGTCAAACATAGTTATACAGCACAAAAATAGACCCCTCGGTCCAACCTGTCTGTGCCAACCAGGTATCCTAAACTGAACAGCTTTTGGCCCATTTTCCTCTAAACCCTTCCTATTCATGTACCCTGTTAAACGTTGTAATTGTATCCGCCTCCTCCACCACCCCTGGCAGCTTGTTCCATACATGCACGACGCTCTGCATGAAAAAAGTTGGCCTTCAGGTCCCTTTTATATCTTTTCCCCTCTCACCTTAAACCTATGCCCTCTAGTTCCCCCTGCCCTGGGAAAAAGACCCTGGCTTTTAAAAGGATCTGTCCCCCCCCCCCCCCTTGATTTTGTAAACCTCCTGTAAGGTCATCCCTCATCCTCTGACACTACAGGCAAAAAAAGCCCCTGCATATAAATCAAACTGTCCAAAGCTGGCAACATCATTGTAAATCTTTTCCGAACCCTTTCAAATTTAGCAACATCTTTCCTTTAGCAGGGAGATCAGAATTGAATGCAGTATTCTAAAAGAGGTCTCACCAGTGTCCTGTACAGCCACAACATTATGTCCCAACTTTTATACTCCATGCAGTGACCAATGAAGGCAAGCGTGCCAAACACCGCCTTCACCAACCTGTCTACTTGTGACTCTCTTTCCAAGGAAATATGCACCTGCACCCCTAGACATTGTTTGTTCTTTTTGACCAGGAATGAATGGCAGCTTGGGGAGCTTGTCCTTTCAAGGGTTCATGATTTTATTCTGGCTGGTAAATATTAGTGAAGAAACGTCCTCTTCCCTCTTTGTTATTGTTTCTTTTTCATTTGAAATTTTACCCTGTGCTCATGTTAATTTGGAACTGGTTTCAAGCTATTTGAGCAAACTCCAACTTATCTCTTCTTTTAAAAAAAAATGTATCCATGGTTGCTGAGTTGTAAATTCCACAAATTTATAATTGTACTTCTGTTTCCTTTCTCTTCTTAAACATTCAACTTTCCTTGCTTAATAAAGTGACTGACATCTAGCCTAATTATGTATTCATATGCAATATTAGGTGTTAGCAGATATTTGACTGCAGAGAGCTTCATAACCAAATGCTTCTGCCCATGCACATCCTTTGCATGCGATCTTCTATTATTCTGTAACACTTTTAAAATTATTGAATACTTGGGAAGTAAATCACTTTTTTTAATATAGGTAAATACAAGTAGACCCTGGGACTTGTGTTCTTCCCTAGGCCAGGGATATCAAAGGCACCTCTACATTTATCCCAGTTGAATCATTTATTTCACGGTAAATTGACAATGGCAGAGTCTTCTGGTTTGCTTAATTTTGCATAGGATTGTGCATTTACCCATCGGCATCTGACAGTCTTATGGATGCATTACTAAAGTTGATGGCTGTAAATAATGATCCAGTGGTGTTTGTGTAAACTCATCATGTAAATTAGATAGTATTGATAGCTGTAGTAAGACAGTACTCAGAAAATTAAGCCTGACCAACTCCACCATCCTTACTTGAGGTACGCAGATCACATAAATGATTTGAAATTCCAAGTCATAAAAATGTCCAGTAATGTTGTATTGAAGATCGTATCAACTATCTTTAGCAGCTTCTGAGTAATACCAATTTTAATGAACAGAAAAAGCAAAGCATAAATATTGGTATTAAAAATATCTCCGTCCTTTTCAGGAAATGGCATTACTTAAAGAAGTACAACCCCTTCACATTATCCCACCCCAGTTAATGCAGCCTTTGAAGCCACAAGTTCCAGGCCGCTTGGTAGTAAATCAAATTGAGTTGGTGGAACGCTTGCTGAAGGAGTTGGGTACAGATAACAGTGGCTTTACCGTAGACAATGTCATGAAGGTGAGTGATGAACTTTAATATAATAACTGGCTGGTCAGAGAGCCAATTTTTTTTTTGTTTGTTTTATTTATTTGGAATGTTGTTGCACCGTTGGAACAGATTTTCACATACCTACTGTCTGTCCTCCAGTTCTAAGCCTTAACTGAAGCTTGTAAAATAGATGGCACCAAAAGTTTATTGGCTTTGAACATGGAATATGTACAGTTTATGAAAATGACCGACAGGAAATGACCATCTGATTTATCAAATACCCAATAGCATGATGATTAGGTAATTCCTACCACACTTCAGTCATGTAATTACCTGGGAAAGTAAAAAATCGAATTTCTCTCTAATTCCTTCAAGTGATTAAAACATTCAAGGGAATCATACTGGCAATGAATTAGCTAGTAATCCATTTACTTTATATGTATTGCAATTTTTATCGCAGTCATAAGCATTCAGCTTCTTGAAGACATGTGGATGATGAACACACCACACACAAGCTGGCAAAGCACTTTAGAGACTCACAAAACTATGGGGAAAAAGAAAAACCTAATGTTAGCATTTTTCTAATTCTAGTAGATTTAATCACTATATCCTAAATTATGATTTTCCCACATGGAGTATTGGGTTCAGGTACTGAACAAGCTACTCAAGTTGTCGTAGAGAAAATACCAAAGGCACAGAAGCAATGCATTTGAGTATCAGTATTCCAAGGGAAGGGAAATGACCCACGATTGGAAAAGCTATACCAAAATTAAACTCTAACTCTAACTGAATGCTTTGAAGATTGAATTATGGAACAGAGACTGAGAGACTGGGTGTCTCAGGATGAAGTTTAGAGAGGTTCTAAAGTTTGAGTTCCTTTGAAGCATATATTATTATTACAGTACATGTACTGAGTGCCAAACAAGATTAAGAAGCAGTGAGGAGATCAGTGAATATCAAAATTCCAGTTGAGTTGCTGTATGGATTGACACCGAACTCCTTCCTCTTCTTATCATAAATGTGGTAATGGAGCAATGAGGTAGGAAAAAAGGGGTACAAAGATCAGTAGATCAAAAACCAATGTTAGGAACTGAGATAACAAAGTGTAGAGCTGGATTAACACAGCAGGCCAAGCAGCATCAGAGGATCAGGAAGGCTGATGTTTCGGAACTGTCAGTTTGAGCCTAAGAAGAGAATCAGAGAGAAGCTGTAAAGATCTTGAGCCCAGACCTGTCAGAACCGAGTAGTTTCAAGTGTCTGTGATCAGTGGCAGAAATTGCAAGCAATGAAATGGATATTTTGCAATGGCTAAGTTTTCTTTGGAATAATTGGAAGTGTACTGCTGTGTTATGTGCTGGAGAATATCACTGAAATTGAAAGGAAGAATCTCCTCTGTAGATGAGATATCAAACTTGTTAACTAGTGCGGAAACATGAGCAACATAAGAGATACAATAGCTGGTTACTCATGAGTTACAGATGCTGAGATGGATGTGTGGAGTGAACGAAAGGCAAGAGTACATTAAGAGGGGAGGGGTCAGTGAAGCATGAGGAAGCATCAAAGAAAGTTGCTAGCAAAAGATTCTTGGTCAACTGCTGCAGAGAAGATCTAGTGATGGAGATGAGGCTGCCAGTAGGAAGGCCTAAGAACAGATGGGAAGATGCAATGGTGAGAGGATTAGAATAGGAATGCATGAGTGACAGGAGGAGACAGAAAAGGGCCATCAAACTGCAATGTATTAACCCAAGGGAAAATGAGAGAAGCCAGAGACGAAGAAGTGAATGTCCCTTGGCTCTTCCCAGTCTATGAAACTAAAATAAACTGTCAATAAGCATGTAACTTCGTTATTTTCATGTAGCTGTCAAGTAGTCTCAACAGCAGTCTGTGTTGCTCGAAAGTAAATTGCTGTACTTTTTTTAAGACGAGCTGAGTTTCTAGCTGAAGGTTCCTTCATGTAGAAAATCATCTGACTCTTTTGAACTTTTTCCAAGGTCACAGCTATCACCCACCATGCAATGTGACCAAAGCAGGTCTGGTGTAGCAGACAGCCCTGTATTTGTTAGCTTTGGTTATAGCTTTTCTGCATTGATTTTGAACGTTAAAGGCTCCGTACGCAGTATCACCTGGATCCTTTGCTCTCTGTATCATTTGTAGAAAGTGAGAAGTATATTTTGTGTTGGTTCCAGCTACATGCATGACACTGCAATCTTTTTCTTAAATACCATTTGTCATTATGTAGCATGGTCCATCAATTTTGTAATGGAAGTTTGTACTCGTTTACTACTTATAACTTAGCAATTTTGCCACGTTCCAGGTCATTAATACACCTGGTGAATAATAGGGAGCTTAACGCTATCTCCTGGGGAGCACCACTAGGGTTGTGTGTCCAGCCCTTATATTTGCACAGTTGAAACCAGTGAACTTCAGTGTGTGTATCTAACTCAGTTGATTGTAATTCACAACTTTTCTCGTCATGCATTTTGTATATTTCATGCTTTACAGTGCAACCTAAATACAACTAACATTGTTAGACATAAATTTGTAATCCTGACATAAAACATAAAACAGTACAGCATGGTAACATATAGGGAGCTGGAGGGTTGTTATCCTCAATGGCTACTTTGAAATATTACATCTTGTTTAAAGATTTTTGTTTGGAACTTATCCTTAAACCACTCAGCTTCAATATTTTAACCAAAATAACAACAGACCAAATCAACGTTTTGTAACCATACTGGTCTGTCCAATGTTCAGGAAGTTTAGGGAAGGCGATGGCCTAGTGGTATTATCGGCAGATTATTAGTCCAGAGACCCAGAAAATGTTCTGTGGGCCCAAGTTCGAATCCTCCCACAGCAGGTGGTGGAATTTGAATTCATTTTTTTTTTGTTTAAAAAACCTGGAATTGTCATTGTCGGTTGTCGAAAAAACCCATCGGATTCCCACATACCCTTCAGGGAAGGAAATCTGCCATCCGCACCTGGTCTGGCCTGCATGTGACTCCAGACCCTCAAATGGCCTAGCAAGCCATTCAGTTATGCCAATTGCTACAAAGTAACAAAGAAATGAAACCGGATGGATCACCTGGCATCAACCTAGGCACCAGAAAAGACAATGGCAGAAACAGCCGTGTTAATCCTGCACAGTCCTCCTTAATAACATCTGGGGGCTAGTGCCAAAATTGGGAGAGCTGTTTCACAGACTAGTCAGACAAAAGTCTGACATAGTCATACTCATGGAATCATATCTTATAATGTCCCAGACACTTAACGTCACCATCCCTAGATATATCTTATCTCACCGGCAGGACAGACCCAGCAGAGGTGGCGGCACAATTGAAAGGGAGTTGCCCTGGGAGTTCTCAACATTGACTTTTGAATGCCATGAAGTCTCATGGTTTCAGGTTAAACATTGGCAAGGAAACCACCTACTGATTACCATGTACTGTCCTCCCTTGGCTGATGAATCGGTGCTCCTCCACGCTGAATAACACTTAGAGGAAGCACTGAGGATGGCAAGGGTACCAAATGTACTCTGGGTGGAGGATTTCAATGTCCACCACTAAGAGTAGCTGTGCAGCAGTGGTACTGTTCGAGCTGGTCAGGTAAGAGCAATCACTGCATAGTACTTGTGGAGATCAAGTCCCGCCTTCACGTTGAGAATAAACCATCTTTGCGTTATGTGGCACTGGCACTGTCACTGTGCTAAATGGGATAGCCTTCAAACATACTTAGCAACTGAAGACAGGGCATCCATGAGGCACTGTGGGCCATCAACAACAGCCAAACGGTACTCCAGCACAAGCTGTAACTTCGTGACCTGGCATATCCCCCACTCAACCATTACCATCAAGCCAGAGGATCAACCCTGGCCCAGTGGAGATTGCAGGAGGGCATGCCAGGAGCAGTACCAGTCATACCTGAAGATGAAGTGCCAACTTGGTGAAGCCACCAGACAGGACTACATGCATGCCAAACAGCATAAGCAGCAAGTGATAGACAGAGCTGAGTCATCCCACAACCAATGAATCAGATCTAAGCTCTGCAGTCCTGCCACATCAAATGCTTCAAGAGATTAGTAATGGCTCACATCAGCTTCAGCCTCCCAGATTGCCTTGATGTTTTGCCTTGATGGACGAATAGACAACTCGCTGAAAGAGGAGGCTGCACAAATATCCACATTCCCATCCCCATCCTCAATGATGGAAGAGTCCACAACAGTGCAAAAGATCAGGCTGAAGCTTTCACAGCAATCTTCAGCCAGAAGTGCCAAGTGGATGGTCCATCTCAGCCTCCTCCAATGGTCCCCAGCACTACAGATACCCGTCTTCAGCCAATTCAATTCACTCCACATGATATCAAGAAACGGTTGGAGGCACTGGATGCTGCAGAAGCTACAGGTCCTGACAACATTCTCGTAAAAATCCTGAAGACTTGATCACCAGAACTTGCTGCTGTCCTAGCCAAGCTGTTCCAGTACAGTTACAACACTGGTATCTATGCAACAATGTGGAAAATTGCCCAAGTATGTCCTGTATCTAAAACGTTGGACAGCTCCAACCCAACCAATTACTGCCCCATCAGTCTACTCTCGATCGTCAGTAAAGTGATGGAAGCTGTCATCAACAGTGCTGCTAAGCAGGTGCTGCTTAATAATAACCTGCTCAGTGACACCCAGTTTGGGTTCTGTCAGGGTGACTCAGCTTCTGACCTCGTTACAGCCTTGGTTCAAACATGGACAAAAAAGCTGAATTTCAGAAGTGAGGTGAGAGTGACAGCCCTTGACATCAAGGCTGCTTTCGACCAATTGTGGTATCAAAGAGCCCTAGCAAAACTGGAATCGGGGGGGCAAAGTCTCTAGTGGTTTGAGTCATACGTGACACATAGGAAGATGGTCGTGGTGGTTGAAGGTCAGTCATCTCAGCTGCAGGACACCTCTGCAGGACTTCCTCATGGTGGCGTTATAGGCCGAACCATCTTCAGCTGGTTCATCAATGACCTTTCCTCCATCATAAGCTCCGAAGTGGGGGTGTTCACCAATCATTGTGCAATCAATGTTCAGCACCATTCGCGACTGCTCAGGAACTGAAGCAGTCCTTGCCCAAATGCAACAAGATCTGGACAATATTCAGACTTGGGCTGATAAATAGCATGTAACATTCACGCCA